AACAAGTAGATCGGGTTCTGCTGTTGACAACTTTCTCGCTATTGACTAGAAGACCTGTGATGAACGCTCAGTCAGAATCAAACCCGGAAAGCTCACCTCCACAGCTTCGGCACACAAATCGTCATGTTCCTTGGAGGCTACCAATATTCGGGCAGCGAACTTCGCCACACGAGCATTTGAACCCAAAACATAGCGCATTACACGCTCCAGCGTTCGTCTGTCCAACATGAAGCGTCATAACGAGCAGATGACCAAGGGACCACTCACTTATCGTTAACTGCTAACGCTTCATCGCTCTGTGAAACTGCTGCGAGTGCTTGCATACCTACTTCCACGAGCCGTGCGTTCTTTTCGTCCGCGATTGCTTTTGTCAGTTCGCTAGTATGGGGCTTGTACAGAGCAGGGCAATGTTTTGAGATGTACGTCAAGAGCGTCTGTGCATGCTTCGAGTCTGCTCTCTGCACACGCTTGATCAAGGTTGGAATAGATGACTGGTTAACTATGCGAAGCGTTGCCCGTCGAAGGAACACGGTCATAGTGCCTAAAATGGATTCCGAACTTGACTCAATCCGACGTAGGAACTCATTCTTCGTGCAGTGTAAGTACGAAGTCTAAATTTGAGCATAACAGATACTCACAGACGCTTTTACGAATCCTTTGAGATCTGTCTGGGTATCCAAGCATGTCTTCAGTAACTTGTAAGACCTGTTCTCGTTTGCCCTTGCAAATGCATGCAAGTCCTCTGCTGCTTTCTGAGGATCCCCAAATTGACCTGCAACAAGATCAAATACGCGGTGGCGAACATAAAGTAGCGATGCTTACGGGAAATGTGGCGAATGACGTTGTTGAGTCGCTGTTTGACAGTGTCCTCATCCTCGTCGATGACACCGCCCTAATCCAAGTGTAAGATAGAGGTCAGGTCCACTACAGCCAAGGCCAGAACTCACATTATGCTGTACACAACTTTGCAGATATAACTCGTACGGCGAGGGCCTACTACCCTTGAGCCCACTTAGGAGGAGCACAGCGTTAACCCCCCTATCGTCGAGGTAGCCCATTGTGTTCAATAGTCGATCGGTCCAAGCAACCTCATTTACATCAACGTTTTTTGATGTCGACGCCGAGGAACTAGAAGGGAGCGGGAATACGAAGTCTGCGATAACCTGCTCTGCTGCAAGCCTGTAAACAATGAAAACAAGAAATACAGCGGACAAGTATGAGTTGTACCTTGCCTCCTGTGTGGAGCTGGAGATGTGAAGAATCTCGTTGGGAATCCAGGAAAAGTGTCTGATCGCTGCTGAATCGTTGTTCTCGCTGTCGATGGGGTCAGGAGGCTTGATAACAATGAAGGAGCAAACCCATACATTTCTGGATATGCAGTACTGTAGAGTTTTCCGAGGCTATTGAGTGCCTCTACTCGCACTGAATTCTGGAATGTCGTTTAACTAAGCCACTAGAACGGATGAGCGTTACACACCTTTTTGTCCATGCCACGACCAGCGATAGAACGTAGTTGATCCTCGGAGACATAGTGCAATACAGTTTCATAGTCTAATTGCGAATACACTTTGCAAACCGCCGCACGCACTTTTTCGTCAGGATCTAGTAACTTGAGCCTCATTAGCTCTACTTGCATGTTAGCACAGATAATATGATGACGACGAGGAACCTCACCATCTACAGTTTCCCGGTGATCATGCAAATTCACCAAAAGACCCTTAGCGCTCTCTACAAGCTTCAACCGCACTGCCGCAGTCTTGTCGTTCTTCCGCATCAACCACACATTCCACGTTGTAGGGTATTTCTTAACAAGCTCTGCGCCACCCTTCTCTGAAAACATCTCACCGAGTGCTTGGGTGGCAATTAGACGCACTTGCACCTCCTCCACACGAAGCTCCTCTTCGAGTTGCGGAATAACGCTGTGCAACAAAGATGGACAGGACCTGCTTAGTTGCTTGACTAGTTCGTGTGCCTTCCGTATCTCCTCGAAGTTGGACTCGGAGTCTGATTCATGGGAGTGCGCGACGATGATGTCCGTAAAATATTGACAGACGTGCCGCTGGAGCTTGTCCGCGGTGGCATTACAAACTTGGACGGCAAGGCGGTATGCAGGTTGCTGAGTAAATGAAAGATAAGCGAAGGTAGGAGTGAAACGGGTGGTGTAATGATTACCGCGTCGTTGGCCATGAACTGCGCCATGATAGTCTCCAATACCTCGGACGGAAGCGCTTGACACTCGTCGATGAGCGCGACGAGGATATCGGCAATGAAAATTTCGATCTTCTTTGCAAGGTCTCGTCGTACAAGGCCGAAAAAGTCGCGAAATATGTCAACCATAAGCTCCTCGGCATGTGGTAGATCGCAGACGAGGACAACGCTCTTGACTGTCGATAGGGACTCAAGGAGGTGAAAGTATTCATTGTAGTATGATGCCTCTGCGCCCCTCAAGCCAGTTGATAGTTGTCTGAAAAAGAATTGGAAGATGTCCCTGAGCTCGGTATGGGTATAAGGGGCATCGGGCGCGTATAGCCTGAGTATGTCGGCGAGACAGCATGCTGCATAGGCCTTGACGCCTCTGTCTTTGTGTAGCAGAATGGATGTGTTTACGAGCTGGGTGCGGACGGCGGATAGTGAATTCACGTCGACGAGCTCCTGGTCGAGTTCGGCAAGTTCGGTGTGGAGAGCTTTGAGTTTCTTGAGGAGCGCGTCTGTTGCAAGGCCTTTTCCTACAATTTTTTCGTTGAAAGCAAGTCGCTTTGGTGCAGAGTTCCCTGCACGCGTCTGAGCCACCATTTGCTCGATGACAATGAGACTTGTTTCTTGTAACTTGAAAAGATGACAATCCGACTCATCTCAAAGTGCGACCTCGTGCTGGGACCAGCGTCCATTACGTAAGCGGCTGGATCCCGGCCTCAAGTCTCAGGTACATAGTGACTCGACTTACTACTAAAGGTTATTCCTACTCTTCAACAGGTTGAAGTCATGCTTTGCGCTGATCCGAGCACATGGGGTCTCTATGCAGATCGGAGTCAACTACAAAAGTCAACCAACGAGGCGAACGTGGGTGAACACTGCAAGTGATTAGCTTTCGATTGTGCATTTTGAACATCATATATGTACGGCATGAAGCGGTTCTTACTACGTGTAAGGCCATTCCTATTATTATCGCGGTGTAGTACTCGTGTACTCTCCGAGCTACTGCGACTACAGTGATGGCAGCATGTTGACACCGAGTTCGAGGCAAACGCCGACAAGGCGAAACATTCTGGACGACATGTATTGGCTTTGCCCAACCCCATGATGCGCTATTGAATTCTTCCACGTTCGTTATTCTATAACTGTCGGGTGTACTTTTGAATTCATCGGGAACCCAGGCTAGATACAGATATATGGACTTTCAAATTCGAAGGAACGGCTGCCTTATTTCAAGTTCTATTGATCAGGACCACTAGTGAGATAAGGATGGAGATGGCTTGACGAAGATAAGTTCTCCTCAGAACATTGTTCAATTAATCGGAGTTGCTGTTTCTTCCGGTCTTTTCGTCGCCAATGCAGTGTTAAACACCGTCGACTACCAGAACGCCGGGAGAACGTGCGATATTAATACTGGAATCGTTATTCTATCTGCGCATGACATAGCTCAGCAGCCTGTTAGGGCAAACTGGTCACCGAGTACTACTCGATTCTCTCGATCTCGATAAAGGGTATACTGCCACCAATCAAATATTCGGACTCGGAAGCATTCGGTCTATCCGTCTCTTGATCTACGCCCTGCACAGATATCTTCATTCTTTTCCAGCAAAGGAGATACATGGCACACATACGGTGCTGGTAGTCTTGACTTTAAGCTCAGCCACCTTAACATCAGAGGCCCTTCTGGTACGTCGTCATGTTGTTATCAGATGGTGGAAAGAGAAACCCTCGATGACATGAGGAATTAACAGGACGAACAGTACTGATGATATGCCGTCATACTGCATCCTCGATCCCTACTCTTGATCAAGATGCTAATGTATAGCACTTTCATGTAATCGGGCCTTACAACATCTGAACTTTATGACGGTACATCATTCAGGCAAGGGAAGTTTCCTTAATCATCGAAAGATGAAGAAAAAGCTCACATCGCCGGTCACCGGTCACCGGTCGTCGATATCTTCCATCTCCATCGGATTGACCAGCGTCGTTGTACGTTGAAGCTCTTCCTGGTCCAAGTGACATGAAGACGAACGAGAAGTGGGAATATCTTTGCCAGATTGTGGATGACCTTCACGCTGCATTCGACTGGATGTTCTTACATCTAAGTGCTGCTGGTGCCCCATTCATCTATTTGTTAGCAGGATTAGCCCAATGTAAATAAGATGTACAAACATGTCCCTCACAACTACTTCCAAAGGTTCCTCCAGTCTCGTGAAAATTGCCCTCACAAATCAGTCTTGCAAGAATCGACCCTTTTGGTGGGCATTACGTTGTATGCGATGTTTCTGGTTTCCTGATGCTTAGGCCGAAGTCAACAGCGAACTCAGCCTTTCAGAACAGCCTGCCTCTCAGCCGTCCGATGTCTCGCACCAGTTACCCAGATTCCTGTACATTATGATCCGTCTGGCACACTGGTGACCGCACTACTATGAAATTCAACAATACCTGCCGATCTTAGCAGCATGGTCTAAGTTCCGGATGCGACTGCAATAGCTGTAAGCTTGTTGTGTGAAGCATCGAGCACTTCCTCTAATACTCATAGCAAATGCAGGGGTTCACCGGCACCTCCGGGTTGAGAACATCTTTTCGCCGAGTCATTTACATCAGCTAATCGTCAGCTTCTTCAGTTAATATTAATAGACTCATATCAATTTGAAGGATGCCCTGAAGCGGCCTCACATGATAATTGATTCAGAAAGGTCCTGGACTTTGAAGGGAAAATGCCAAGGCGAATCTAGGCGAATACAGCCTAGCATACTGCATTTTCAAATCTCCAATGGCGAAGCAGCCGGCCACAACGCACAATCGCCTATCATACAATTGCGCCCATGTTTTTGACAGAAGTCAGGATTTGACATGCCATTGGCTTCTAACCCCACAGCTTTACTAGTAGGTGTGGGAACGCACAGGAACACAATCACCCATGGAGTTAATATTGGTTACTTTTTTATTTTGATTCATCAGCGGTCGCAAATTTGACAATGAGGCCGCATGGGCCCTGTCACTGAATGGTGGTATATCTGCAGCCTGAGGCCTGAGGAACGTCAGGTTCCCCAGTCCCAACATGACCCATGTCTCAAATGATCCTGCTTGGTGGCCGTACATAAAGTGGTGTTATATATTGAATTATTTTATAGGTTCGTGGAGAGTGAGGTGGATGGTGTCACTCGGGACTAATCTCGTTATCTTTTAGTTGCATCATCTACTGCAGTAGTATACGACTGGGGTGAGTGAGATCATGCTAATACCTTCTGCGGGGATTGTTGATATCGATATCTATTCAAGTATTGACATTTGCACGAGAGGTTAGTCAATTCTGTTTCCGACGTAGCTATCTCACCGAGATTACTTGAACAGTTCGAATTGGTCTGGGTGAGCAAATTGCTATTTCAGGAGTACAGCAGTTTATTCGCGGCAGAGGCGACGCTGGTCCTTCGTGACTGTTCTCTACGTTTGTGTACGTATCTTGTGCTATACGCGAGGTTGCCAAGTTGTGCTGACTTTAACATATGCTAGGTGCGCTGCATCGGAATACTATATTCTATGTACGTTTGCAATACTAACTAGATTACATTGCACTGTGCTAATGAGCCATTTCACAATCAGCGTCTACATAGTTGGTATGTGTCCAGTTAAATATGTCTGTTCCTTCTAACCAGTGGCATGCAGGGAATCTCCCGTTCTCGATTACAGATGTAGTGGGTGTTTTGCACCATGACCTGCCATTCCCAGTCAAGTACTAATGCACCCCTGCATTATGATAGGAGTGAGTGATGTTTTCGGCCGACTTGTTTTTTCAACGTAACGACTGTAATAGCTGTAAGTTTATCTGAAGCATCAAGTCCACCAGTGCGCATTGCTTACCGAGTTTTCTAGGCAATATCTTTTACTTCATGCAGGTATGGATACCTGTCGTCGTCAATGCCATGCTGGGCGGTGAGCGCTGGAAACTTGATTGATATTTATTTGACTGAAATGCCACGCAAGTCATCATGATGACTCGAATACATGCCATGTATCAGGGATCCAAGATCATGCTCGTCTTCCTCGGTGCAGTCTTATTGACATGCACGATCGCTACCGTGGTTATGACAGGAATAGGAAATATCAAAGCTTCAGCGGGTGAGTTTCGATTACGGATGAAAGCCTTGAGCACATAGGACTCATGCATGAATACCAGTGGATGTTGTCCTTTCTGGCAACCGTATGTGCCTGAGCCTCGGTGTCGCTGACACACTGAATCGGGAGATCTTCATACCCACCCTTCTATGGGAGGTTATTGCCTTGTTTCTCGCTGTCAGGATTTTTATCAAACATATCCGTGAACTGCAAAAATCAAGGACAGAATCGACCATCGGAGACTGTTTCACGGCGTTGATAAGAAGTCATGTGCCATATTTCGTAGGGTGAGCTTGGTACTTTGTAACCTATTATCTTGTTCCACTGAAGTTTTGCGTGTGCTAGCTTTGTCGCTGTGACTTGTTTCAACATCGGCACACTATCCCCCGCTTTGGTGCGCCGATCACATCTGCATCTGACCGCTTGCTGATCATCTATCAATTCCACAGGACCCAGTTACTGTGGGATCTGGTGTTTATTACGGCGTTTTCCAAATCGCCCAGTTCGTGCAGATGTTTGTGCTGGGACCACGTCTCGTCCTGAGCATTCGGGATTATCACGCTAAGCTGGTAGCCGATTGTGATGAAGGAACTGGCATGCCTACGATTGCTTTCCAGGAGCGCGGACACGTGTCAACCAGCGGTAGTGAGTAGCATGGGAAATGTGCAGGGAGTCAGAATTTGGACGATCATCGATTTGGGCAGATCAATGTCAAATTGCGCCAGAAGTGATCCATTTATACATGCACGGTTGTATTTCGTGTTTCGCAATAGATGTATATGAGCCGCAGGTCCATTTCTGGCCAACTGTGACAAGAAGTCTAACATACGAGCGTAATGCGACAGGTGTGACGGGCTCGGGAAGCTCCAGGAGTTTATCGTTACTTTGAAGAGAGTATCTCTTGGCAACAAGACCTCGTCGTCCGACTCGAATACACAAAGGGTCACTATGCATTCAGGACAAGGAAGTGCAGACATGGATGCGCCCACTGGGCATCACAAAATCGCACTACCAGATTTCCTCGCAACCTCGAGAAGTGATTGGATAGTGCGATCTCTAATGGTCAGATCTCGCAGCAAATCTGACGCAAAACATGGTAATCCTTGGCTAGCCTGTTTTTCTGTTACCGTTGTTAATAAACAAGATGAGCCAGGTGTATATTTCAATAAAGAGTACCTTCTTAGAGACTGCTCATGGAGCTACGTAGATGTGCTGGAATAATTTGAGATGAAGGTAAAGAAACAAAGATGCATCCATCGGACGAGCCAGGATCCTGCACTCTGGCGTATATTCTTTATACGCGCAGCCTCTTCTGACTCCTCGCTGCCACCCCGTAGCCTATTCCTCTTTCCTTGAGTTGTTGCTCGCTGAGCGGCTTCTTCACCTGCACAGTTTCGTAAGGCATGTCTCGTGAAAAGGACAGAGCATTGAGGTTCGCCGGCTTGGATTTCTTGATGGCGATAGGTTCGCTAGCCGACGGTGGCCCGTGGGGCGTGTCTTCAAAGCTTCTGGAGAGGATGAAAAGGCCTTTCCTATTTTTCGTAGAAAGCAAGTCGCTTGGGACAGGATTACCCAACGCCGCCGATCTACTAAACTCTTATGTAAAATTTACGTAATGTACATCAGTTAATCGGATTCTGATTCTGCTGCAGCCTGCAGGTTGATCAGTGCCAGCGATCGTGCTGTGATGCTCGTTCAAATGGACTAATTTATTTCTCTACGTATGATGCTACAGATTCTCTCTGTTTCAAGCTTTCAATGAGCTCCACAATATTGAATTAGATCTAAGTATTGCGGTGAAAACACGATGGTTATTGCGACCTTGAATTCAATTTTGAAGTGACTGACTCAAATGCGCCTCTCATACCTTCCCTAAGCTAGCTACTCCCTACTTCAACATTCCAACCGGCTTTCCGTCTGTATGCTGTCTAACATCCAATAAATTATCATGCATTGACCGGCGGCACAAGTACTGCCTTGTGTGGTCTGAGTTTGAAATGCACACTCCGCTTGTGATGCGCTCGTGCACTTCAACTTAGAACCTCCATCACCACCAGTCTACTACACAACTAATTCACCATGGAAGAAGAAGTAGCTGCCCTCGTATGTTCAATCCCATCGTAGCTATTGACCCCGTACAAAACGCTTAATTTCTTCGCGTTATCAGGTTATCGACAATGGATCCGGAATGTGCAAGGCTGGCTGTAAGTTTCTCTTCGATCTACGTGTTTCACCATCTGATAAGCATCCTCGCAGTTGCTGGTAATTCAAGGCCGTTTGTGGGGCTGTAATGGTACAAACTGATCGCATCTTATTAGGTGACGATGCTCCCCGCGCCGTCTTCCCGTAGGTTTTAGATCGTATATCGTCACTGGTGATCTAGCGCTCACACAAACTTGCAGCTCCATAGTTGGTCGCCCGCGTCACCAGGGTGTCATGGTCGGCATGGGTCAGAAGGACTCTTATGTTGGGTAAGCTTCGGCCATTTCATTTAGGCTTTCACCTAATTTAATCCACGTAGTGATGAGGCTCAGTCCAAACGTGGTATCTTGACCCTCAAGTACCCCATTGAGCACGGTATTGTTACGAACTGGGATGACATGGAGAAGATCTGGCATCACACATTCTATAATGAGCTTCGTGTGGCCCCGGAGGAGCACCCCGTCTTACTCACTGAGGCTCCCCTCAACCCTAAAGCTAACCGTGAAAAGATGACCCAAATCATGTTCGAGACATTTAATGCACCTGCATTCTATGTCGCCATTCAAGCCGTTTTGTCGTTGTACGCGTCTGGTCGTACCACCGGTATCGTCATGGACTCCGGTGACGGTGTCACCCACACGGTTCCTATCTACGAAGGTTTTGCTCTGCCTCATGCTATCCTTCGTCTCGACCTTGCTGGTCGTGATCTTACCGACTATTTGATCAAAAACTTGATTGAGCGCGGTTATTCATTCACGACGACTGCGGAGCGTGAAATCGTCCGTGACATCAAGGAGAAGTTGTGCTACGTCGCTCTCGATTTCGAACAGGAGATGCAGACTGCCGCTCAGTCATCAGCTCTTGAGAAGAGCTACGAGCTGCCTGATGGTCAAGTCATCACCATTGGAAACGAGCGGTAAGTCGATTTTACGCTGATTATTACATCGTCCTAACTTGTAAAATCACAAGGTTCCGTGCACCTGAAGCTCTCTTCCAGCCTGCATTCCTTGGTCTCGAAGCTGCCGGTATCCATGAGACTACGTAAGAGATCATTCACAAGAGACGCAGTGTGATTTACCCTCATTCTAGGTACAACTCCATCTTTAAGTGCGATCTTGATATTCGTCGCGACTTGTATGGTAATGTTGTGTTGTCGGGTGGTACTACCATGTTCCCTGGTATTGCCGACCGTATGCAGAAGGAGTTGACATCACTCTCGCCTTCGAGCATGAAGGTTCGTATCAACCTTTTTTGTGCAGTCATAATTCTCATTCGTCGCCACTTAATAGGTCAAGATCGTCGCTCCACCTGAACGGAAATACTCGGTCTGGATCGGTGGCTCCATCCTGGCTTCGCTGTCCACTTTCCAGAACTTGTGGTGTTCAAAGCAGGAGTACGATGAGTCAGGTCCTGGTATCGTTCATCGCAGTACGTGTCTCTCATTTTATAATTGTACTGGTTCTCATTTACTCCCGCGACAGAGTGCTTCTAAATGTAATGAGAGAAGTAACCGCGTGTACGATGTACTAGAATCACATTGCTATTCATTCCTAGTAACACAGATGTCAATCGCCGGAGGAGTTCTATTGGAAGATACGATACGTATTTGGAGAAATTTGTTTATCCGTTCTGCAGACAATAGTCAATTTCGTAATAAAAGTTATGAACCATGATTTGAATGACGTAGTTGGAAGACCGAACGCCTTGAACTTTCAATAATTTGTAACTTATCCTACAACAAGCCGTAGTCTGGATCTCAGCAATCTATTTGACCGAACCCCTTTGCACAAAGCGGAAATGAACAGAAAGAATGCATGCATTGAAAGTGCCTAGACGACAAACGACAGCCTGAGTATTACCGTAACTTTGAGTATTACCGTAACTTTGGGTTTTATCGCTCCTTCTTGGTTTCTGATAGTTTCTTCTCCTCCGCTTCCTTGAACGATTGCTTGTCTTCCATCAAAGAAACGACGATGTAAGCGATGAGGACTACATTGGCTGCACATATGGCGGTGATTGCAGCATAATTGGAATTGCCTTGAAGAAGAAAAACATCAGTACACGAACTCGTGACTGCTGCATCCTGCAGTAGAGTCTAGACATACCAGACCAAACATATTTTTCTGTGAGGAAGTATGACGAGATTGGTAGGATGGCGAGTGTTGCAGCGAAAAAGAGGAGTTTCATGAGCGCCGCCCTTTGACATCACCAATAGGATTTCGGGATACGACAGACGAGTGAGTGATGTTTTCATCTGATATTTTATGAAGACAAACCTGGAGGCTGCCTGCTCTGAGGCCTTTGCTGGGGTAACCTGATCACTCATACCCAGTTGAAAATGGATTATAATTAAGTGGTATTACAGAGTTTATGAATATCCTGCGCTCACATAAGCTCTGAGTCAGGTGCGAATGTACGTAGTCACGTGCATTTCTACCCAACTCTGTAATAATTGAAAGCGTTTAATATCTCAATGTTTGACGTCTGACTCCCACTGGGCCCTGGCAAACCGACGTAGTCTCCCGTGGACCGTAGTCTGACCATACAGAACGAATATAGCTGTTCTCTCTTTATTATGAGTCTGACGTGGTCCGTGAAAGATACCAAGGTTCTTGCAAAGCTCGGCAATTTCACTCTTCCGGCCATTCCATTATATTCGACCTAGTTTCCTCACTGGTTCTGTGCCGAGTTTGATTTTTTAGCAGACTCATACTCTCTGGTAAGCTTTTTGTTGTTTTTATTACTCTCACCGCTTATATGGAGAGAGTAGGTGTCAGTGCGCCCTCTCGCACCTTCTTGCACTTCTTCTCGTGTCCTCCTTGTACCAACCTTGTACCTCCTGCACATTCCCGCAGCCTACCGGCCCTTCCTACACCCCTTTTCCACGTCCGAAACTACCTTACAGCCCATACCCTCAGGTAAGTCCTTTGTTCTTTTTTGCTCATAACATTTGCAGTAGAAATATAACCTACTTGCCCTTGTGATCTTGCAACTTTCCCCCAACTTCCTGTCCCCTCTTGCCAGTTTGATCACCTGGGTATCCTCTGATTACTTTCGTATCTGTGACCTCCAACCAGCCCTCTCAGTCCCTTCCTCCCCTACTATATCCATATAGTTCATAGCTGATGGGTATGGCACTCGTTCTACAATCTTTTCATGCTTGCTTGAAATTTCTAGTAAGTACTACGTATGGTGCTCTATAAGGCTATGTGTATTGAAGGTGCCACTATGAAACTATAGGATCATTCTGAATGCACATTGCGAAGATAGCATGCAATTTGATTCAAACGGCTCGCCTAAATTCAATTCTAAGCAGTCTTGCATTTCCTGCAACCCTGCTTTTCTGTACGATACTTATGTCGTTTCATTGCGCAGTAATACTGTTATATACAGGGATTAATCTCAGCAATCTAAGTTACGAAGCTAATCGTACTTGTGTGCATGGCTAGTATCGCAACATACTCAATATGTTAACACACATCAAACTAGTAATCCAAAACGAACTGTACATCCAATCATGCTAAAGGATACTGCGATCCTCGCATAAGGAAAATAAGAATCCTCTGCAACTTGACATCCAAAAAGAACAGAATCCAATACTAGCCCTACCAATGGTGAGAGGAAATAGCCGACTGAACGTTGACCCGGGTGGTAAGGAAATCGCTGTTATCCCGAACGGTGGTGGATAAAATACCGGTGTCCATGGATTCGTGCAGGTTAAGCACCAGTCGAGAGATGAGAGTAGCGGACATGCTAGAGGCAATGAATGAGAGCGATCTGTATTTATCGTACCATCACTCACGAGCTAGTAAATGTAGCAAGACTGCCTCTGGTGTTAACCTTGGCATTCGTTAGTAAATAGTCGACTAAATATAAGATGCAGGTTCATATGCTCACTGAACCAGACTGATTGATTCAAACTGTGAGCGCTTTAACTCCATTAATATACATCCGTTGACTCACGTAGTACGTCAGGATGTTCGGTATATTGATCAGTGTCATCGCTCTGAAGGCATGTGGATCAGATCCACTCGAACTACGATCTCGCCAGCGCCTTACCCGAAATACATTGCGCCTGCGTTAGGTTGATTCAGCATTTCAATATAAGCACAACAAAAGACTTACCGTCGTGAAATACGATATTGATGACATTGGTCCTGGTAAACAGAGACAACCGCAACAAGCCTCTAGTTTTGCAAATTCTGTACACTGTGAGAATGAAAATGAGTAATTCAAAGATAAACAGGGCCACCCATGCCAGTCCAACACCTGCAATTGGATAAAGTCATGACATCAGATCGCATGGAAACGGGTTTTACGAATCACTAACGGGCGGCTCTGCAACGATTTTTGAGCAAACGCACAGAACAGTGACGAAAACAACGTACATTTCTGCTGTATATGTTTCATAGCAGCCAACTCCTGGATAAATGGTCGCATTGCTTGAGAAATGTCCAAAGGTTCCCGCCTAGAAAGGATCAGCGGATGCCCGGGTCCAGACGTCTACGTGAATACATACACAAGCTAATACCACAAGAATAAAGCCGATAATTATCATCCAGATAAGTAAACGCTTGCTACAACCGTAGAGAGCATAAATGCGAATGGCCAATGTGACTCCATGGGAATTTTAGTATGCGTACTTCCCGCAATAAACTTCCTACTCACGACAAACAATGATTCCTTGGGAAAGAAAGAACAGTTGTCTGCATAACGTGTATTTCACACAACTAAGCCTCCGTTGAGCAAAATGGCGAATATGCAAAGAACAAGAAATGAAACCTCTGTGGAATTGAATTCTGTGAGCCTGGCGGTTCGGTATATGCATAATGAAATCAGCGAACCTCATCTGACAAGGGCAAGAAATCGATGCATAAGGCAAATATATTGCCGAGCAGAGCGATATAGCGATTGACAAGAAACAACTTCGAAGACAGCGCCTTCGGACGACGCCAAATAAAAGCGATTTCTTCTGGGAGGGTCGCGATATGGTCGTATATCAGGATACCTAGAATATTTTGTCATCGCTCGACGCTCGGAGATCAACGATAAGATGTCCTAATACTGTTTGCCACGAGAACGGCGTACAAGTGGATCCACCTGGTAAATCGAAAGGATCAGGATGCACGATGCATCTATGCAAGCACTACTCACAACTGCTGTGATTCAGTAATGTCTGACATTCCAATAAGGTGAATATAACGGAGTGAGGGTGTTAAAAACACCCATCCTGTGGCACAATATTTTAAGTATCAAATTACATAGTGACGTGACGTAGCAATGTTAACATGTCTTCCAGTGCGGGATATAAATCAGGTGCTACGTTGTTTGCAAGACGGGATATGATTGATCGATTCGTGGTACCTGTAGTATTAACACAATGACATGCAAACGGAAGCTGCTGTCAATCCTTGTCAATCCCTGTGTCATTTCTTACTGAAACACGTCGATAATGATCTGATATGGTTGATCATGCAAAGCGGTTGATCATGGCCACCATGGCAATCAGAGGGACTCCATCCGAAATGGCGAAGAAGGAACCGAATATGTGGCAGGTTGCAACAGGAGGACAATATGGCGCTGCAAGACCAGTTTTTATATACAACAATGGCTGTCATATTCACGTGAACCTACAGGGAAAATCATATGGTTGCAGGTAGCACAGCACGTTTGGACGACAGTGGGTGACTTCCTATAGCGTTTAGAATAGTACTCGATTTAGAGTATCGTCTCGCACCTTGTCGCAATTTAGAAATGCTTTCCAAAGCGCAGACTAATTGCACCTAGATTGAAATGTACAGTGTTGCAACGTTGAACGTTGAACGTTAACGTTGAGTGTAAGCAACAATTACAACATATTAGTCACGGTGATTGAAAGGCTCGCGTACTAGTTTGAAACACATCCAGGAGGATACTTAGCCCCCATATCATTACAAATCACGTTCAATTGACGCGTCGGCACGAGGACAACGTTATAAATGCTGCCGTGTTTCATGAGAACGTTACAGTTGAATGCATTAATGAACGCTCGAGCACTCGCCTTGCCAGGGAACCTCGTCATACAGGCACAAAATTCAGGACTGCGATCAGGGCCATCAGGCCACCACAAAACCTGATCGGCTGGCACCCTCGAAACAGCCGCAGAGACCATAATCAAGAAGGAACAACGTACTACCGTAGTAACTGTGACAGAGGCCGAGGATGGTCAGGAGCAGCATAGTTCATAAAATCGGTCCTTCAAGCTTTCCAGTTCCATTGCGCTCCCATTCACCAAGTTGACTATCACATCACCTGAAGTGAGGTCTCTCCGTCAATAACGCTAGAAGGATAGATGCAATCCTCAAACGATGGTTCTCTACAGATCACACTAAACGACCTCTGCGAAAGCACTATAATACTACACTTTCTCACCTACCGTTCGTCCTCGGAACTCTCTCGTCCCCATTTTCATTTCCCCACCCTTCTCTCCCTTCTTTTATCGCACCTGATTCAAGTTCCTCGCTCTCCTCAAATCCGCGCTACAGGGCCTCGGAGGACACCTACAGTATAGTCGCAGCGAGGAGGCCCTCCTTCCTCGCAGTCCATTTCTGTCCGACTTAGATGAGTCCCTCGGGGCCGGAAGACGCTGCTTGTCCTCGCCCGAAATCTCAGTATTTTCCTTAAACACTCGTCAAACACATTGTTCCTCGTTGGCTCACGATACAACGACCATCTCTTCACTCGATCACGCCTGAATGAACCTCAAAAGAGGGAATCGGGGATTTTACTGATGTGTAGCGATTGTGACTAAATAATGCAGTACGCATGCTAAAGTACAGAAGTTTCGTTATTTCGATTCAGACAGGAATAAAACCAATGCTGTGCCAGTATCCCATCCATTCAGCTACATCCCGAGTTCCCAATGGGCTTGAGACCATTGATCGCAGTGTCGCAGATTCTTGTAATGCTTTGGCGCACGAGAGCTCCGACTCTACAAAGTTCTCTTTATTCGTAGTGGTATACCTGAAGAAGTCAAGCAACCTCAACGCAGGATTGTTTTGCAGCTGTTTAGCCGTTTGAGATGATGCCTGCTTCTCCAAAGACGCAAACCACTGAGCATACGGGATCAGTGGAACATTCAGGATGCGAGCAGCTTCCTGCATCAGGATAGTCCACGAAACAGGACTTGGATGCATCAAGTGATACACGCCAGGGGGTGAATTGAACATCTCCACCATCGATTCCGCCGCCACGTTAACCGGAAGCCAATTTACGGTCTACACAGATCAGCGATAGTCGGATGGCGATCAAGAAAACTCACATTAGAGCGGTTGGGCAAGGCACCCACAAAGAGGCCTGATCCGATCATGGATGGAATCCATTCCGTCGTTTTCCAGTATCCGCTACGCCCTCCGGTTAGTTGCTCTAGGCGAATAATTACTGGCTTCAGTCGCGTAGCGTCAGCAGCGGCTGCCAAGATATGCTCCGCAACCCATTTACTTTCGATATATCCCGAGCCGACAGATATACTGGGGTCATGCACAAGAGTCTCCTTTACAGTGGTTGATGATGTGAGACCTGCCAAAATGTCAGTGATTCCGTGCTTTTCAAATCACCCGAAGTACTTTACCGCTCAATACACCGACTGTGCTTGTAAAAAGTAATTGAGGCGGAACTTGCCAGGGCGAGGAGATAGCGAAGTCCACCAATTTCCGCAGACCGTGAATAGCATGTTCAAATGCAGCAAGGGGGGCAGTGAAGTCCATTGGCCAAGCTACAAGCGTCTCAGCATAAATGTGAAATAATTTAGCGAATTGCTCACCAACGTGAATAATATGGGTCACACTTTGAGCCATCTAAACAAGATGAACCTCGTCGACTTACATAACAAGGCCAGTACTCACTTCATTGAATGTGTCAGTTGACAGCCCAAAGTAATCTTTGTCTAGAATGCCTTCCAGATACACAACTTTGTCTGTTTCCAGTCCGGTTGGATCGAGGGACAGTGCATGGAAAGATTGTTGGTGACGTTCCAACATAGTTGGTGTTCCGGACTTGGAACGGTTGAGAAGAAATATGCGACTGATACATGGTCCACGAAGTAAGCATGCCAGAAGGTGTGCGCCCACGACTCCTGTAGTACCGGTTATGAGAACAATACAGTCCCGTGCGAGATAGGAAGGCAACAGCGTCTTGGGGCTTTTGAATCCAGACGTGTACTTGGCAAGTAAGGACCTCATCTCAGATACCCGGTGAAGCTCAGATGCACTCCTTTGCTCCGCTTCAATGAGGGCAGGTAGCCGCTGATCCTCTAATCGCGCTTCTAGACTCCGAAGGGTCACGTTCGCAAGGAGCTGGGTTTGGCTGATAGAAAACAAGGGTTTCAAGGCAAAGGATAGCCTTGCAGCAGATAAGGAATCCAGACCATACACAGTTAACGGAACGTCAGGAGACAAATCTTCGTGCGCAATGTCCAGGGTGGCACACAATATGTCACCGATCGAAACACTGTCTTTCGAGGTTGAGGCTTCATCTTCCGCGATCGTCCGCTCGGACAATAAGTGATCGTACATGGGAGCGTTTCCCATGTTGACGCTGATCGTTTCCCAGTTGAAATCTGGAATATAGAACCAGAAGGGCCCATCGTCAAGCTTTTGAATACCTTCCTCGATGAATTGGAGGATCCCTGAGTGAATTTGATGTCAATTTACGCAATCTTATCAAGGGAAAACTCACTATGCGATGACATCCCCCAATCCGTTAGGTATTTAAACTTTGTCGCACCCGATGTAGCTACGAATGAATCTGTGATTATGGGAGTTACAATAGAGAATGCGTTGGGCATGGTGCGCAGTCTGCCATCCATCATAGTGTTTGCTCTGAGGAATGTGAGCAGTCAAAGAACACACGCAATTCAAAAAGACGTACGCTGCGTAATTAGTTTGACCTGCATTGCCAAATAGTGCTGAAACTGAGGAAAACGAAACGAAGAAATCCAGCTTGTTCATGTCAATTGTGTTGCATAGCACCTCGAAAGCTCCAATCTTGGGATCAAACGGCATATTGAAGTCCTTCACCGATAGCCCAGAAAAGAAACCATCTGCTAAAACCATGGAGAGCAACATGCATCCCCCGAGCGGACTCTGAAGTTCTCCCACCAACGCTTTCATGTCGGGCTCGCAGAGGGCATCAATCGCATCGATGCGTAAATTCAAGTCTGGTAGGCTCTTGAGGTATGCGATGATACGGTGAGATGCAATGTCTCCCCTGCGTTGAATTCCAGCGCACCCGGAACGCGAAGTCAGGACGATTTCCCGTGCACCATTCTAATGAGTCGACTTAGCGTGAACAAATAGATTCAGTGAAAAGAATAATTCTGACCTTGTACATCCACTGAGCAATCTGAAGCCCAAGGCTGCCGACACCTCCCACCAGTATATAAGCCTTCTTGTTGCTGAAGAGATGTTTCTTCACATGGATGGGATCACCAGGCTTGGCAGTGATGATCTCACTGAGACTGCACATGGGCATCTTAAGCTCGTTGCCAGCTATATCTGATCCAAGGCGAATAGCGTGGCCGATTAACCACGGGTCACAGGCAAGCAGCGATTGCAAGCCTTTCGTCGGATGCTTCCATGGGAATGTCTTCCCGTTGGCTGTCAAGAGGCGTGCTAAGAGGCGGAGTGTTGCCATGTCTCTGTATTCAGAGACAATTAAATTGAAATGGCCATTAGGGAGGCGGCCGATTTCGGAGTCCGTCGCATGTTGCGTTAGAGTAGTAACACGAAAGCCCCGGAGAAGGTAGAGTTGAACAATCTGGATGCCAGTCTGAGAATCTGCGTGTGTCACCAGAATCTCTCCACGAAACCTTCCAGGGTTCTCAAAATATGTAGGACCAACAGCAAGGACTGCTATAGCAAACACGAGAACAGCAGGTGCCGTCGATATATCAGCATTCCAAGCTACTGGAGCATCTACCATGCTATCCAGTGGCAATACAATGATATTTCCAACAGGGGAAGCGGAAATTCCCATAACGCCTTTGTGTGAGCTGCCCAATGAGCCAATAAAGGACCATATCTGATCGTCCGATCGGCTGATACGTTGTACATGCACGACAGCAGAATGACCATCCGAAGAGGGAGATGAGCAATGAACAAGATCCGACTTCTCAAGTCGCCACGGTTCGTCGAAGTTGAAAGGA